AGTCATATCTCCCCTCATGCGTCGGGACGCACCCGGCCACATATAGGGTCTTCTTTCACACATAGTTCTCCTACGACACGTGCGACCTCAACTTTGGGCCTGGCTACACCTCATACGTCGGGACGCACCCGGCCACGTATGAGGTCTGTCAACACGCCGGCTACTCCTACGACACGTGTGACCTCACAAAGACAGGAGATGCATATTCAAATTCACGTTTTGGAGCAGCCCATTTGATGTCTTCCTTGGATACGCCAAATGAGCCAAGCATTAGCCACATTAGCCTAGAGCCAAGCCTTCTCATCTCCATTTCATATTCTTCAGGAGAGAGAAAGACGCGAGAGAGAGAGAGAGAGAGAGAGAGAGAGAGAGAGACGACTGGACGCACCCAGCCTCGTATGAGATCTGTCAACACGCCGAGGAGGTATATAGGGTAGTGCGTATAGCACTCCAAACTGACATTCTATACTCTTTTATACCTTTTTTGAAATATTTACGTTTATGCCACTGAGCTTCATTTGATCGTATTTCTCTCGTTACAACTTCGATTCAAGCCCACTACGTGTCTACGGACTCATCTCACCGTGAGTGAAGTTTCGAGCTAAAACCGGCCAAAAACCTGCATTTTCCGGCGACTGGAGCGGCGGCCGACGGCGGGGGAGGGGGAGGGGTATTCCTGATTGGAAATGACCAAATTACCCCTATCCCAATGGTAAATTCATAATTTCATTTAAATAAATTAAAATAGACAATCTTCCTGATTGGAAATGACCAAATTACCCCTATTCCAAGGGTAAATTCATAATTTCATTTAAATAAATTAAAATAGACAATAAATTTGGAGTCGGGGTGTTACAGTACTTGTATAAATACCTTCATATTGGAGAAGAATTAAAGATGAGCTAATATGAGCGTATCTAAGCATAATTGAATATTTGCCATACTTTATTTGACAAATTCGAATATGAGACCATTAGTCTATAGTCCAACGCTCCTTTTCATTGAGCTAGACCTCAAAAATGCGCCATTTTTAGGAGACTCGAATTCATCAACAAACGAATAGGTGGGGTATGATTGTTGGCCACAGAAAACCGTTAAAACAATACAGTATACGCAACTTCTAAAATAATTAGAAGAAAAAAAAACAATTAATAACAAAGAAAAAAAAAGGAGGTTCTACCTTGACCGTCCGATCTCTCTACAACAACACGCATGAGATTTGGACGGCGAGGATCATTCTGATGAAAATGTTCCCACCTAAATGGCCTGACCTGAATCACACAAATACAAAATTTCTCATTTAATCATTTCTACGAAGAAAAAAAGGAAGCCGGAGAAGGTTCTCTGCGATGGCGTTCTCTGCAATTACTACGCACTGCCCCTCTCTTCTTCGTCTGCCGACGAACCTACCTGTAACCTCTTCACCTCTTAATTCAATTTCGTTTCGATTTTCAAAGAATAATCTCAGCCGTAGAAAACCCCTTTCAATTCGATCAACTTCAACTTCAACTTCGGGTATTTTATTTTCTTCTTGTTCCCCAGTTTTGTTTTTTATATTTGAATGAACTAATTTAAAATCTTTACTTTGCCTGTTAGAACATATGTAATGGCTTACACTTTTAGCTGTTAATTGGTCTTTGCTTGTTTTTCTCCTTCATCTGCTACATAACAATTGGGATATTATGACTCTTTTGATTATTATTTTTTAATGTTTAATTTGGTGCATTTTGGGGTGTGATTTGATATGGTTTGCTTGAATTTGAATTCTGTATGTGGAAAATGTATGTGTAGGCTATAAATGGTTTTTTTTTCCTGTTCAATTACATTGAACATGTTGTACAGTACAAATAATAGCTGCTTGAATTTTGGATGTAAAATATAGTTTGCTTGTAATATCGGAATTCATGGTTCTGTGGGCTTGCTGCTGAATTTTTGGTACTATATGCAAGTTACGTGATTGCTTTTGTTTTGAAGAAAGTTTGTGACTTTCACAGGCA